TGACCCGTGAGACTTTTCCTGTATTTTCTCTCCCTTTTCCAGTTGTGGCAGCCCCTTTGGCCCCCAGCCAGGCCACCCCAGCTCACACCACAGGCTCAGGGGTGCCACATTTCCTAAGGACAAATCCCCACCACCCCATATCCTTGGAATGCATCAATTCCATAATTAGGTGTATTAAGAGCTGTGCCTGTCGTATCTCACTCATTTCCACAGACATAAGAAGTCACATTTAGAAGTCATTAAGCTGAAATGAAATCTTTGCTGGGCTTAATTAACTTAAATATTCATGAAACAGGATAGCAGGGGAGAGTGTTGTTCTTAATCAAAACAGACATTGCTGTTCCATAATGCAAATTCCGATTTCTTCTGTGGACAATGCCAGCTCCTGCAAGAGCAGCAGCAGAGTTTAATGCCAGCACTGGAAAGTGCAGCTCAGAGGGATTCACGTTGTCCTTTAGCTCCCAAACACAGGAGGAATTTGCTGATCCAAACATGTGCTTAACAATAATGTCGTGCCTAATACAGGAGTTACTTGCAGGGCCATTTGTCACCATTTGCTCAGGCTGAATGCAGCACTCTCCCCCTCTCCAGCCTCGGAAAAAGCTTCCCCAAGGCAGTTACTCATTTCTGTCTCGAGGCTGTGGCACTTCCACAGCTCCAGGGCCGTTCTCTTCGCACAGAGCTCTGTTCTGATCCACAGAGCCTTTAACAAACCCAGCTCTCATGGATCACTGCAGACTCCTGCCCCAGCGCTGATCCCAGTCCTCTGCTCCACCACGACCTCCTGGGACTGCCCAGAGAAACTTTTCCTGCTTCTTCCTCTTGCTCCAGCAGTGTCCAGGCCCTGCCTGGGCCCTGTGGGTTCTTTCTCAGTGTTCCTCCTAAAGCAGAGCGGCTCCAGGGCAGGCTGAGCACGGCCCAGCCTCTCCTGGGGCTGCCCATCCCTGGAAGTGTCCAAGGCCAGGAAGGAGCACCCTGGGGCAGTAAAAGCTGTCCCTGCCCATGGCAGGGGGTGGAATGAGATCATTTCTGGGCTTCTTTCCCACCCAAGCCACTCCATTTTTCCCCGATTCCTCCCTCTCAACACTAAAGTGGCGCCTCTGTTGTGTTGCCCCAGCACGTTCATGGCCAAGGTGGGCCCCACAATCACAACCACAAAGCTGCAGCCCCTGCTGGGCTCCTCCCTGGAGCAGCCAGAGCTGTCGGGATGGGTTTCCAGCCCCTTGGAGCTGGATGGATGCTCAAGTTAAACTTCCACAGAGCCACGGAATATGCTGAGCTGGAAAGGGACCCCTTAGGATCGTGGAGTCCTAGCCTTGCACAGGACACCCCAAAAATCCTGCCCTGTGCCTGAGAGCATTGTCCAAACACTCCTTAAGTTCAGTTTAATAAGAAAAAATTTCCCTGCCTCGGAATTCCTGCAGCAAACCCACCCTAGGATGGAGGAGTGCCCTCTCCTTCCCAAGCCACAGTGGATGGGTTTTTTTGGGAGCTCTGGCAGGAGTGGCAGCAATCATTCCTCTTCATACACACTTCTGTACTGAGGGCAGGTGCCCAAGAGTGGGAGATCAAACTCCCTTTCCTTGGCTGCCAGAGGGAAATCCATTAAACTCAGTTCCTCTGGCTGGAATTCCTCCTCCTCCTGTGGCCGACCCGGGCTGTTCAGCAGGAAAAAATGACACAAGATTTGTCGGGTTGAGAAGTGGAGCAGCAGATTGCCACGATAAGCAGAAAAGCTACTTCAAAAATAGGGAGGAAATACAGTTTCACATTTCTGTTAATGGCAGCTTTGGTTTCATTATCTGCCAGCCCCATGCTCAGCTTTGGATGCAATTAAAATGAGAGAAATAAAATACTCGATGGAAGGAGCAGCGTTTGCCGGTAATGAAATGTTTATGGATCAATTTGTATCCCAGTAAAGAGTGAATGAATTTACTGCAGGAGGAGAGAAAACAAAGTGGAGATAAGCACCGAAAATCACTTGGGCTCCAGACATGCACAAAATGTTATTATTTCCCCTCAGAAAAGATAATATTGATTGTTGAGAAGTGTTTGGACAATGCCAACAATGTGTTTTGCTGATAAAATACAATGACCCATTTAGGAGATGTCTGTACAGGAAACAGCACGGGCTGAAATAAAACTCCACATTTCAAATCTCCTTTGATAAATCCCCAGAAGAGAAAACCTTGCCATGACCTCCTCTCCTCCACAGTTCTCCTCTCTCCAGGACACCGGGCTGGCATTGTGCTGGAGCAGGTGCCCCAACTTTTGCTTAAAACGTGACAAATTTCATCTGTTCCTACTTCATTTTCCACTTTTAGTACGGGAAAAATCCTGTTTGCATATTTACAACAAAAAGCAAAAATTCAATTAAGTTCCTAAGGGCAGGAACAGATTTATTCAGTGCCTGGAATAACAAAAGCCTCAGCTGGGATGAAAGGGAAAAACATCTCCACGATACCAAACATTTAAAGGAAGTTTTGATCTGATGCAGTTTAATGTGTACACAGAGGGGGGAAAATTCTCAGAGAATTTTGCTGCTTTTAACTAAGATGAAATGTTTGATATCCTTGTGGGTTCAGCCACTATTAGGAACAGCATCGGATCACAATCCCACAAAAGAATAACAAAGGGTTGGGGGGAAGCAGCGGGATGCCCTCAGTGTTATTTTTACAGAAGAAATGAGTCTTTCTCTAATGGGATGGGAAAGAAGAGTTTCATGCAAATCACCGGGAGAGACTCAGCTTTGTCTTTAAGTTTGGGGATGATCCAAATCCTGGCTCAGCCCCTGCTGCGACACCGGCACCAGGAAGGAGAAAACCTGGGGAAAACTGGGCAGGGAGAGAAAGGGAGAAATGGAGAGAGAGGGAGAGAGAGGGAGAGAAAGAGAAAGTGAGAGAAAGGGAGAGAAAGAGAGAAATGGAGAGAAAGGGAGAGAAAGGGAGAGAAAGGGAGAGAAAGAAAGGGAGAGAAAGGAATAGAAAGGAATAGAAAGGAAGAGAAAGAAGAGAAAGAAAAAGGGAGAGAAAGGAAGGTAAAGAAGAGAAAGAAAAAGGGAGAGAAAGAGAAAGGAGGAGAAAGGGAGAGAAAGAAGAGAGAGAGAAAGAGAGAAAGAGAGAGAGAGAGAAAGAGAGAAAGAGAGAAAGAGAGAAAGAGAGAGAGAGAGAAAGAGAGAAAAGAAAGAAAGAAAGAAAGAAAGAAAGAAAGAAAGAAAGAAAGAAAGAAAGAAAGAAAGAAAGAGAAAAAGAAAGAAAGAGAAAGAAAGAAAGAAAGAAAAAGAAAAAGAAAGAAAGAGAAAAAGGAGAGAAAGGAAGATAAAGGAAGAGAAAAGAGAGAAAGGAAGAGAAAGGAGGAGAAAAGAAGAGAGAGGAGGCATGGCTTGAAATGCCAGAGGGCTGGAGCAGTTTCATTCATCGCCACAACAAAGGGTGATGGATAACAAGCAGCAGACCTGAGGAGACCTCGGTGCCACGGACAGTCCCAGGTGTTCCTGGGAATTGTCTGGGTGGCCCCAGCCTGGCAGCTTCCACAGGCTCCAGGAATCCATTTGTCACACATTGCTGCTGAGGACCGGCAGAGCTGCAGGTTAATCCAAGGAAAAACTTCTTTGTGCCTCGTGTTTAATCCAAATCAGTGGAATTTTTGACCCTGTGTTCAGGTCCACGGTGAGGACTCCACCGAGGTGCCCCAAATCCCAACCTTCCACCTGGGAACAGGGAGAGACAAAGCCCTGACAACCCCTGACACCTCTGGGTGACCTGCAGGACACAAAATCCCCTCGTTGAAATCTGCTGCTGCCTCTGCAGGGCCATCTGGGGTTCAGTTTCTACTGCAGGGTCACGGCTCAGAAAAGAAAACCGCTCACCTCCATTTAGAGCAGAAATTGTGCTCAGTAATAAAATCACTTTGGAAAATCAACACCTGACCCACCAGCAGAGCTGGGCTCTGACCAGCACAGCCAGCAGCACCTCTGGAAGAGCCAAATAAATCCGATTTCTCTGCCTCCAATCTGCTCTTCCCCTGCAGCACAAAGAAGGCAAAAAGTCATGATTCAAACTCCCCGGTGAAGGAGCCAAGTTCCCCGAGAATCCTGACAGGCAACGGATGAACACGGCATGAAATATGCAAAGGAAGACTCATCTTTGCCTAAGGAATGGAGAAGAGGCTGAATCCCAGCCCACACACCCAAAAGAAGGCTTTTTGAAGGGGATCCAACGCTCCAGGACTTTGGAAGTGATGTGGATCCAGACTCTGGATAGGTTGACGCTCCAAAATGGGGCATCAACCAGAAATAGCCCCTTAATTAAATGTTCCCCAAAAAGTTCATTTAACTTCCCAGTGAACTTTCCTGGAGATCCCAGGAACCAAAGGCTCCAGAGGGTGCCACCTGCAATGCTTTAATTAAACTCATTTTTCAGAAAATTTCTCTAGTTCTACCCTCAAAACAGGGATCCTTTTTTTCAAGTAAGATCCTTTTGGAAAGCTGAGCTTCCCAAAAACCCTTGGGATTGGACCTCCTCAAGCTGAATCAGTTCCCAAATTATTTTAAACTGGGGTATAAGTAAGGCATAAAAACGTTTCGTAATTCATGAAATTCACAATTTTGCTATTTTGAAGTGGATTTGATCCTCAACAATTGACTAATCCTTCTTTTTAGTCCAGAAATAATTATGGAATAACCACATAACACAAGTGAGAGCGTTCAGCCGTTCCTCCCTCCAGTTTCTACCGGTCTGGAATACAATATTTCATAAACCTTCAATATCTTATGGACTTCCACTGATTGAGGATAAACAACATTCCCACAGAACCGGCTCCATGGATTACAGCAAAACCTTTTTTTTGCCGCTGTCAATTTCCCCATTTTCAATTATTTCTGATATTTTTCTGTTGCCTGCAGGGTAAAACAAGTGATTTTTTGAAGGGCAGTGGCACCTCCAAAGAATTTATCAGCCTGTTTGTTTTCTACCCAATTGATTTGACCTTTGCTGGCTCACCTGCTCCTGGAAATTTTCAGGGAACCTCAGGAGTCACCACGCCGGGGAAAAGCTCTTAAACCAGGTTTTCACAAGTGCTAAACATCTTCATATCCCAGTGATTATGGAAAAAATTGGAAGTACCCAAGAGCTTCCAAACCATCCAGCTCAGGTCATGCTGCAATTCCCAGATCCATCTGCAAAAATCACTGGTAGAGCAGTTAGAGGGGAAAAAAAAAAAGGCAACACAGAAATAGGCAGCAAAGGCATCTGCTCAGGAAAAACACAGCTCCAAATCGCAACAAATTCTGAAATTCTTGGTTTACTATTCATAGCTCCTTCCATCAACTTGTCAGAGGAGATTTCTGACTCTCAGCACAAAAGGTTTCCATTCTGTATCAGTGGAATTTGCAATTGGATGCAAATGGAGCTGTTTTCCCTTCTTTTGTATTTGTATTTCCAGCCTGATGTTATTTAATGGAGCGGGAGCAGCTGCCAAATGTGCTTTGACTGGACGCCCCTTCCATGGAAACTGGGATGGGAATCGGTTTTGGCCACGGTGGAGATGCAGAGGAGGCAGAAACAACCTTTGTGTGTTTTGGGGGGCTTTTCTTTCCTCTTTAAATCGTTCCTGTTTCAGTGACAGGCTGGACCTGGGATCCCAGCCCTGCTCCAGGATCAGTTCCAAGGCTCATTTTCCCTGACATTCCCACCTGGAATAAACGCTCCATCTCCCATGTTTCCAGCAGGAATCCCTGTCCAGAGCACACAGTGAAGTTGTGGAGGTTCCCAACGCGCCCTGGGACAGGCGAACACCCAGCTCAGGGAGCTCAATCTGCTCCAGCTGAATCCAGCTGAGGAAAATGATCCTTTCAGGGATGATAAACCCATTCCCGTCAAGTCACCCGGTTATTCCCACATCCAGTGCACTTTTGGAATCCACAATCCCATCCCAATCCTTCTGCTCCGTGATTTTAATGGTCCCCATCAAACCCAACCACCCCCAAAATCATCTCAACCCATTTATTTTCCATCCCGTGACATCTCTGACAGGTCAATCCCAAACTTCCGCACACCACACGTGGGAAATGTGGGATTAAGATGAAGGAAATGGCTCCTTTCCACCAGCCAAGCCCTAAAATTAGCTTGTTTTGAACAGATTGCAGCGCTGAGCTGGGAAACAGAACGCTCCCAAGGATGTTCAAACCTCCCAAGCTGCTTTTATCCCAGGCAAGGAATGTTTCATCCACCTGACTCCATTGGCAGGGATCTGCTTCCCATCTGAGCCCACCTGTTGGAAAATTCACTTGCTCTTCAACAGGCAGAAATTCTGGAATTCAGAAAGAATTCTTGTCCAGCTCAAGGAAGAATTTGCTACAAGGCTCAGGAATGGGAGAAAGGTGGTCCCAGCTCAGGCAGGATGTGGAGCTGCTCTGCTGAAATCAAGGAATTCACAGCAGGGATAGGATTTTTTTAGTGAGAACCACAAAAAAAACCCAAAAAATGCAAATAAGGAAAGAAGAAATGAAAAATTCAAAAAAAAAGAAAGAAAAAAAAAAAAGAAAAAAAAAGAAAAAAAAGGAGAATATTTAAAGAAATTCCCAACCAGTTCCTCCTTCCATCCCCCCACCTCACAAAAGCTATGGAATAATCTCTTTCCACTGATATTTTGCTGTTTGATCTCAAACCCCCCACATTTTTGGCACTGTTATTTCTCAATTTTGCCGCAGAGATTTTGAATTCTCTGCAAACAGGAACGTTTCCTCTTCTGCAGGTGTCACCTTGCTCTGGGTGACAGCACCTGAGGGCACAAATGGGATTTGATTTAAAAAATGGAGAGCACTTGGAGATTGCTCCTCCTTGGAACTCATCAAAACGCTCCTGCAAGGATCTGTCTGCTTGGAAAAAATGGCATTTCATGGAATTGTTCCTGGAAACCTGTCAGTGCTGGCGAAATCTTGGAGAAACAGTTGTTCTTTTCGTAAAATGAACAAACCTTGCATTTGAGGATCTTTCCTCTCTCATTTTTAAGATCACAAAGTTGTCAAAATTGTTATCGTGGATATCATTAAGTATAAAAACAAGGAATTTGGTTCATCAACAGTGAGAAGCTGATGGATATAAGAGGGAATGACACCAGGAACTCTAGATTTTGGGAGATGAGTCTTCCTGAGAGTAAATCTCCACCTCAGCCCGTGTTTTTCTGAAGTTGGGTGATGGTTGTGCTCATCCTCTGATCCTCCTACCCTGTCAAGGCTGAGGGAGCTCCAGGATGAAGGTTGAGGGAGGAATGTCATTTGGAAATGTTTCTGTCACTGTGCCTTCTCAAAAAAAAAAATAAAAAAAATAAAAATACGGGACAAAAAGGCAAATAACAAAAAAACCCCAAACCCACACAGCCTGTTCTCGCCCTCCCAACTCATTGTAAGTAGATTGCAAAAATAGGGTCTGAGGGAAGGTTTTGGAGAAGAGGTGCCATCAGTCACCTCCAGTCCCCAAATGGGAACATTTTAGCTCCAAGACACTTCAGCCTCTCACCCAGGCAAAATTAAACTCTGAGTTAACAAACACACCAAGTTTCCTTCAGATAATGTGAAAAAAAACCCCATTAATTTATTTCCTCTTCCCCTTCTCCTTGTCTGAAAAGCATGGAGCGTTATCTAAATGTGAGTCTGGCTCAGGCAGAGCAAAATTTCCATATTTCTCCTATTTTTTTCTATTTCTCTCCTATTTTTTTTCCTATTTTTCTCCTCTTTTTCACTCAACCTTTCCCTGCCTGCAAAGTGGGAGAGTGGCTGTGTTGGGCCAGGCTGAAGGTGACCTCAAGGTCACTCCTCTTTCTTGGTGGATGTTCAGGAAAAAACATGTGGGCAACACGACTATGGATCCCTTCTTTCCAATTTCCATAGAAACAGCACCGTGTAGCTTTTCCAAACCAGAAGATCTTACATTATCAGCTGTGTTTATTGTCCCTCGAGGCTGTTCTTTTGGAAGTGCATCTTATTTTCTCTCCAAAATAACTTCAATTTTTGCCCTCCCAAACACCCTGTGGCAACGAGCTCCACCACTGCATAACACGGGGGAAAAATAACGCCAAAACTTCCTTTTCTTCTTTTTTGTTTTTATAACCTGCTGATGAGTTTTAAAAGACCACTGCACAAGGCCCTGCAGATGCTTTTAAGTTTGAAAGAGGAATAAGTGCCAAATCATCATTCCTACCTGTGGGCTGAACTTAAGCCAGTTCAGACAATTTCCATAAAACTGCACCGGTGTCGTTTTCCTTAAGTGCCACTTCCACAAGGAAAAGCTGATGATGGATCAATTTGTGCTGTTGTATTAATGCAAATCCTCAGCAACTCCATCACTTTGTTAAACCATAAATTTAACCAGGCGTTAGTTAGACTAAAAGCAGGATTTTGCAACCCACTGGGCTTCTCCTTCCAAACCCTCTCCATGTTTTCTGTAACATTTTACCAAGAGCATCTCCTGTTTTATAGCCAGATTATTTATCCACAGCTGCATTTGACAGATTTCACCATCATGGACACCTCTGAAAGTTGAGAGTGTAAAGGAAAAATGGGAGCAAAAGCCTAAATAAACTGAAAATTGCCTTTTAAACACCCCCTTCCAGGCAAAATCACCACCAAAACCAGAGGAATTTTAATCAATCTGAAAAATGTTACTGTGTTTCATTGCCTTTTACCTTCGTGGCTCCTAACCCTTTATTTCCTGAAACACCTCTGCATTCCTGTTCCCACTCTTTCAGGTAAAAATTCCATGAGATTTTGACCATCTTAAATTCCCAGGCAAGATTTTAAGATTCAGATGCTCCCAATGGCCTGTGGCCATTCCTCTGCCATCTCCCACAGGGCATGACATCAGCAGCTGGGAGGAAGATGGATCTAGAACTGAGACCCTCCACTCCTGTAAATCCAGTGGTTCCAGGTGTGAACACGTGCCCTGAGCGCTGTAAATTGACAGTTTCCAGGTGTGAACACGTGCCCTGAGCGCTGTAAATCGAGAGTTTCCAGGTGTGAACATGTGCTCTGAGCACTGTAAATCCAGGAGAAATGCAAAGCACCCACAGGGACCATCAGTCTTACCCATTTCAGAGTCCACTGGGTGTTGTTTATCTCCCAAAGATGTCACTGGGGAGGGCTGCTGGCTCTCAGGCTGGAAAACTCATTTTAGTGGCGATTCTGGCACAAAATACAGCTCCTACAGTTAGCAGAGGTCGGGAGAAGCGTTTTCATAAAATATTCCTTGCTGCTGACACCACCCTTGGTCAAGTGCTGGGGCTGATCTCAGCGTTCCCTCCAAAGGCCCTCTCCTCCTAGGGTTGTGGCTGGGACATGACAACCTCATAAAAAATTCTAAAGGTCAGCTCTGAGCTTCAAGGAACCCATCAGCAAGAAGTAAAAGCTGAGCTAAATCACAACTGGCTGCACAAACATTAAATATAAAATTAATGCTGAATGGCTGTGTCTCCACAAAGATGAGCCACACCAAGGTGACCCATTCCAGGAGACAAACACCTCTCATCTCCTTCCTTTTCCCCCTTGTTAAGGCTTCACTGTGGCCTCTTTGGGTGCTGCTGCATTGATCAGTTGGAGGCAATTCCAAGACAATTAATCCTTAGATTAACGCCACTGTCCTGTGACTGACTAATTCTCCTTTAATTCATCTTGAGGATGCTGCTGATCTTATTTTTGAGCTGAAATCCCAGCCTGATGCAGCTTTAAGTGACTTCTGCATTGTGTTGAGTTGAGGATGATTTGTCCAAGTGTTTCAACAAGTGGCTGCCAATGCCTCAGATCCAACACTCACCCTCGGTGGCATCAAAGAACTTTGAGCTCCCTGTGAACTTTGGATGAAGACAAAAAGAAGTCCTCCAAAGCCACAACAGCCTCCCCAACCTTTGCTCTGGCACTACCCCGTCCTTATTCACTGGCCCCAAGGGCTCATCCCGCCCGTGGTCCATGAGAAGGATCTGACAGCAGGGTCAGCCTCATTACCGCATCCTCCGTGTGCATCTCCTGCCCTCCAAGGTCAGGCAGGTTCTCCTTGTTGTGGCTCTCCACAGTTTATTGGGATGGGGCTGAGGAGGAGCACAAAGCCACACAGAACCTACCCATGGGTGTGTCGTGCTCTCGCCTCTGAAGCGGCGACTTCCAAGCTGTGGCAACCCTCAGAACCTCGACTTTCAGGTTCTCTCTGTAGTGGCCTCTTCAAGGCCCCTTTTCCAGGCCTTTTCATCCAAGTCAGACCGTCACATCTCCTTGCGTGGGTGGCTTTGAACACTCTGCCATAGCGGGAGGAAAAGCTCCCTTCTTCTGGCCCATGGCTCTGTTTCATTTATTGTGCCTGGAACAGCAGCACAGCACCCAGTTTTGTCAGGCAGGTCAGGAGGTTAAGGAAAAGGTCCAAGAAAAAACTTAACCTCCCTGAGATCGAAATTAGTGCTCACAAAGATGTGTGGGGGAAAGAAATATTCGAGGATAAAAGTGGCTACTCTATTCCAAGGGCTGCAGTGACTTCTTTTAGTACAAGACTCACTGCAACTGAATTAGGACTCCACAACCTGAAGAAAAGGCAAAACTTTGCCATATAAATAGTGAAAATGGGGACTAAAAGTAGGCACAACCCATAAACATGACCTCCAACAAAGCAGAAATAAGTAGATCTTGTGAAGGAAGCCCAAGATGCTGGATTGGGATGTAGCAAAAAGCATCCCACAGTGACTCATCAACTACTTCTGTGGACTTCAATCTGACTGAACATTATCCCCATCTCTAACACAAACTTACTCATTCACTCTCCCTATCCTTATACCTGCAAATGATTCATCCAAGCTCCTAAAAGCCACTAAAAGCCAAGTGCAGGCCTCGTTTCCCTCTAGGCCCTGCTCTCCGCCTGGTGCTTCCTTTCAGGCTCCGCCAGAGCCCGAGGCCTTGTCGCTCGGAAAAGGTCAGGCAGGATTTACAGAGCCTGAACACGGCCTCGGAGGCACAGCCTTCCCCAAACCTCTGTGAAACTCCAGCCGCATCGCAAATGGGCAGCGGTTCTGGAAATCAGGTCACGGGAGCATCAAACTTGTAGAGGCTGAGAATTCCGAGCAGCTCGCGCAGCGAGAGAGAGGAGCTCTGCTGAAGGGCTCGCACATCAAGATGAATTAATTTCCTCCAGCAAGGCACAGCTTTGCCATGTTGGGACTGGTGTTACTGCCCCGGGAACAATCCCTTCTTTTCAGGGTTCTGGGGAAGGCAAGAGGTCATTTTCCCCTTTTCATGTGGCAGCAGCTCTGTGGAATGCTAATGCTGGCAGACACTCGGTTCCTGGGAACTTCTGTGAGGCTCTGGATGAGGAGGATCAAGAGCTGCTGCTCTGGAAGTGACAAGGAGCCCAGGTTGACACGCAGGGATTACAACCCCAGGCACTGATCCCTGGCGTGGAAATCTGCTCCTGTCTGCAGCACAACTCTGAGATCAG